AAAAAAAAAAAAAAAAGAATTTACATACATGGAAAGTTTGCTTCGGCTTTGTAGAGAGGGAAAACAATCTGAATACGGGAAATGTTGAGCCAATTTGGCAAAATCCGTATCACAGAATATAAATTGACATTAGAAAGGAGTTAGAGCTACAAAGGTTAAAAGGATACATTGGGTAAGTTTTTTGGCTCAGGTGGGTGGATAGAGATGCCCTTCACAGAGGAAGAATATAAGTGAGAGAGAAAGATGATGAGTTCAATTCTAGAGAAAGTTCTGAACACTGTCCTAAATGGAGGCCAGGAGGGGGGAAGAAAAAGATACGTTGGGAAGGATTTTTGTGATAGGCTAAGTTAGAAACAAGTTATGGATATAAAGTATGATTCATTTTAGGAGGGAGCGAACATTCTGTGCAGACAGCCCATGTATAGTATGTATCCCTGTGTGTGTGTTGTAGGGCTGTAAGGGTGTGTATACGTAATGTCCATATATGGGTGGAGAAAACTGTGGATAGATACAAACCAGGCTATATACTGTGTTTGTGTGTGTGTGTGTGTGTGTGTGTGTGTGTGTGTAATAAGGTGAAGAAAAGAGATGGAGGAGAAATTGTTCGATAGATAAGTCTCACATTTATGTTTCTAAACTTAGGAGAGGTTTCTGGAACTGGGGCCAAGTGCTAAGCAAAATATATCAAGAGTGTTTATACCATGGAGAAAAGTGGGACATGGAGTAAGGGTTGAAAACAAGAAACGCTTATTAGTAGGGGTCAAACAGCTGTTATGTGACCCAGTATTCAGCAGGACCCCAGGGAGCAGCTCTCACTTCAGTGCAACCAGGGGGAGACAAAAGTAAGTTTGAGGGTACCTGGGTGCCTCAGTTAGTTAAGCGACTGCCTTCAGCTCAGGTCATGGTCCCAGGGTCCTAGGATCGAGTCCCACATCGGGCTCCCTGCTCAGCGGGAAGCCTGCTTCTCCCTCTGACCTTCCCCTTCTCATGCTCTCTCCCTCTCTCTCTCATTCTCTTGATCTCAAAAAATAAATAATATATTAAGAAAAAAAAGTAAGCTTGTAACATCTCAAGTAACACTCCCAGAGAAAGACCAAGAATTTTTGTTTTCTCCAGATGGCAAATGTTTCTTTCCATTCCATTACAAAAATGGAATATTCTATGACTGCGTCAAGCTCAAGACGAAACACAAGTGGTGTTCCGTAAATGAGACTTACCAAGGCTATTGGAAATACTGCTCTGAAGACGGTGAGCGTCCGGTCTCTGAATACTGCAGGGAGGTTGGGTGATCTTTGTTCAATGGGATCCACAAGAGGGCGCTGTACGGGGACTCCATAGCCAATGACACTGTGAAAACGAGGTCTGGGTGAAGGTCTCTGACACTATGCAAATCACATTGCGCCAAGGACATTATGAGAGCTTCAAACACATGACCTTGAAAGCAGACTTTTAGCAAAACCTCAATCTCCCACCAATATTGCCAAGCAGACGGTGCTGAATGCGGGGGAAGGGTTTGGGGGGGCACAGACATGTGTGCATGAGAGACATGGCAAAGAAGAAATAACAAAATAGAAAGATTTCTTATTCTGATTGCTTCCCTCCTCTGTAGACTTTGCAAAATGCGTGTTTCCCTTCTGGTACAGACACATGATCTACCGGGAATGTACTGAAGATGGGGATGCCTTTGGGAGAAAATGGTGTTCCCTGACCCAGCATTATAACAAAGACAAGATTTGGAAATATTGTGACTGATGGTGAGATTTTCGGGGAAGGGCATGAAAAGGTCTAATCATTCTCCTGGGAAGTAATCTTCAGTTTCTTTTGTGAAAGGAGAAGATAGGATCCTCCTTATAAGGCTTTTTTTTTTTTTTTCTTTCTTTCTTCCTGAGATATGAGTTGAAGGTGATCCGGCTGTAAATAATGGGGTTTTGGCCATGGGTGGTGGATGATAAGGTTTTGATATGAAAACCTACATTCTGGGGCGCCTGGGTGGCTCAGTCATTAAGCATCTGCCTTGGGCTCAGGTCATGATCCCAGGTTCCTGGGATTGGGCCCCACATCGGGTTCCCTGCTCAGTGGGAAGCCTGCTTCTCCCTCTCCCACTCCCCCTGCTTGTGTTCCCTCTCTCACTGTGTCTCTGTCAAATAAATAAGTAAAATTTTTTTTAAGATTTTATTTATTTATTTGACAGACAGAGATCACAAGTAGGCAGAGAGGCAGGCAGAGAGGGAGAAGCAGGCTCCCTGCTGAGCAGAGAGGCCGATGCGGGGCTCGATCCCAGGACCCTGAGATCACGACCCGAGCCGAAGGCAGAGGCTTAACCCACTGAGCCACCCAGGTGCCCCAGTAAATTCTTTTTAAAAATAAAATTTAAAAATTAAGATTAAAAAATACATTTAAAAAACAATTAAAATGCCACAAAATTGGAGGGGAAATCACAGAGTATAGCATGTGTACCCAAAATGTTATTTCTAATATTTTAAGGTGATTTTATGAATAGAAGCAGATGTCTATCTACACATATATACGTGGATAAGTCCCCGGGATGTGATGTGAAGCGTGGTGACTGTAGTCAGCGGTGTTGTCACGCATATCTGAAGGTTGCTCAAAGAGTGAATCTTGCAAGTTCTCATCCCAAGGAAAAGAATGTTTTGTAACTTTTTATGGTAACAGACGGTGACCAGACGGTGGTGATCATTTCACAGTGAACGCAATGTCAAATCATTCCATTGCTCACCTGAAACTAATACAGTGTTGTGTGTCAATATAATTCTATAAAAAAACATATCCATGAATATGTGTCAAATCATATTTTCAAATGTATTATTACTGTAGGTAGTAAAAAAAGAGTTTGGAAGCACTGTCTTTATGGACCCAAAGGACTCCTCATAATCTTTCATAAGAAACAGGAACCCCAAAAAGAATGTTTGTGACTTATCTTTCTGGTCTTTGAAATGGGCTTACTTGTCTCTCGAGAGCCGTACAACGCGCTATGACTGAGCCTGGGTGTTGGAAATTAGTCCTTAAGGTGCACAGTGATTTTGGTTATTTGGTTATTATTCTAGGCCTCAGGGATTACTTACTAATCAGATCCTAGGGAATGGTTGGCCAGAGAGACATCTAGTGGTGATAAATGGATCATAGGGTTTTTTAAGAAAGAAAATCAGTTGAAAATCAGCTTGCTATGCGCGTTACATGGAAGAGCCAGAGCCAACCTCCTACCAGATTTCCAAGCATGAATTAGTCCACAGCCTCAATGCCCCTTGAATGATTGGGAGTCTGGACGACTGTGAAGAGGGGCACCAGAGGCATACACTCTCAGTCTTCTTGGGAGACTTCCCCAATGGGGCACAGTGTTTAGTGTCCAGGAGAAAGGGAAATACATAAACTTTCCAGGGTCTCCTGAATACTGGTTCCAAGTGGAGATAAATTTTGAAGGACTTGGACCGCCACTGGGGTCCAGTAATTCGAGTGGAAGTTTCCAGAAATGTGAGACAGAGTCCTCACTTAATTTCCCTTCACTCTTGGCTCAGCGCCATACCAACATGCCTTGCAATTACTTCCCCAGGTCCTGGGAGTGATAGAGTTTGGATAAATATCTTCACAACCTCCTGGTGGATCCTTTTAATATGTAGCTTCTGATCTTCTTTTATTTTGGCATAATTTTCTTAGGTTATGTCTCAAATATTATTTTTCTCCCTTTGTCTTGATGTTCTTGTTCAGGGACACACATCATAAGGTCCTTTATTTCGATCACACCCTCTATAACTCCCTTTACATTTTTATCTTGTTTTCATCCTCATGGATGTTATAGGGTTTTTGGTTTTGGGTTTTTTTTTTTTAGAATTTTATTTATTTATTTGTCAGAGAGAGACAGAGAGAGAACACAAGCACAGGGAAAGGCAAGCAGAGAGGGAAGCAGGAAGGAGCCTGATGCAGGGCTGGATCCCAGGACCCTGGGATCATGACCTGAGCCAGAGGCAGAGGCTTAACCCACTGAGCTACCCAAGCATCCCTGTAGTGCTTTTCTTAATGCCCCTTCTTGAGTCTGCACTTAGATCTACTGTCCCTTGGCCACATTTTAATTTAGTTTTCACTTTGGACATTTTAATTTCTTTTTCTCCATTCCCGGCTTGTTCCATTTTTCCCCCTCATTTTTAAAAATTCATTTTAGCTTTTCGAATTTCTAATTCAAAATGTCTTTCCTATCTTCAAATATTAATTTGAGGCTCTTTCACGCCCTTGGTTCATTTGCTTCTGGGGTGTGTGTGCCACGAGGGAGAGATCGCTACCTTGTTGCGTTTCACCCACAGAGGGGGTTAATGGTTTATAAGAGTCTTAGTTCAAGGGCGCCATCTGCTGTCCATGCAGGGAGGGGCAGTTTCTTTCCTGGATGGCTTTTTGCTGGGGAGGTGGGGCTCTCGATGGTAGGACAGTTTGTGGTTTCTTCTATTTTGGGGTTCGATTTTATTTTATAGTGCCCTAAAGTGTGCCCCTCCTTTTCTCTCATCACCAGCCAGCCTCCAAAGGCTTTCTCCCTTCTGTTTACCTTCGTGTCCTACAGAAAGCATCCCCATCAGCCACCTCAGGTCTCCGTACTTCTAAGGTCCTCTGCTCGTGACCTTCTTTCTCTGATCCACTGGGATTCCTTTCCAGTTAGGGCAGAATTTCTCCTCTGGGGACCACTGTAGCCATCGCTTTGTCTTTCCCAGAATACCTTATAGTTGGAACCACACAGTACGCAGCGTTTTAGGAATGGTTTCTTCTGATGAGCGATATGCATGTAAGGTTCCCCATTATACATATGTGGTTTTTATGTGGCTCAGGATAGTTCATTTTATCACTAACAATATCCCATTGTCTGGATGTACTGGTTTATTTATCCACTGACTTGCTGATGGACGTCTTGGTTGCTCCCAATTTTTCGCAGTTATGAATAAAACTGTTGTAAACCTCTGTGTGCAGGTTCTTGTGTGGACATGAGTTTGGGGGTTTTTGTTTTGTTTTGTTTTGCTTTTTAAGTAGGCTACCAGTGTGGCGCTTGAAATCACAACCCTCACATCAAGCCCAAGCTGAGATCAAGATTCCAACTCTTAACCGATTGAGCCCCCCAGATGCCCCTGGACGTGCCCTTCCAACTCATTTGGACCATACCGGGTCATATGGTAGGTACCAGTTTAGTTCTGTAGGAGACCGCTAGTTTCCGAAAGTAGTCGTACCATTTTGCATTCCCACCAACAATGAAGGAGAGTTCCTGCCGCCCCACATCCTTGCCAGCATTGGTGGTGGTGGTATTTGGATTTTAACCATCTTAATAAGGATGTGATGGTATTTCATTATCTTAACTTGCAATCCCCTAGTGACCAGTGATATTGATCATTTGTCCATAAGCTTCGTTGTCACCTGTGTATCTTCTTTAGTGAGATATCTGTGCAGATCTTTTTCTCATTTTTTTTTAAACTGGGTTGTTTGTTTTCTAATTGCTGAGTTGTAAAAATTCTTCATATATCCTGGATACCATCCTTTGGCAGACAGATGTTTTGCAAACATGGTGTTTCAACATCATTTTATTTATTTATTTATTAGAGAAAGAGAGAGAGAGAGCATGAGAGGGGAGGAGGTCAGAGGAAGAAACAGACTCCCCGTGGAGCTGGGAGCCTGGGACTCTAGGATCATGACCTGAGCCGAAGGCAGTGAGGGCTTAACACACCGAGCCACCCAGGCTCCCTCCCACACCATTTTTTTAAAACACTACCTTGCGTCCATTGAATTGCATTTGCTCCGTTGTCCAGATTAGCTGACTCTATATATGTGAGTCTGTTTCCAGATTCTATCCTGTTCCATCGATCTACTTGTCTATTACGTCATTAATATTGATTGCATTGTCTTGATTACTGTCTTAATCAGATTAGGTTTACAGTAAGGCTTCCAATTGTACCCTTTGACCAGCATCTCCCCATTTTCGCTGCCCTTCTCCTCTGCTTCTGTGACTTCAACTTTTTTAGATTCTAGATATAAGTGTGATCATACTTTTTTTTTCTGTGCGTGTCTTGTTTTGTTTCACATAATATCCTCTGGGTTAATTCATGTTGTCACAGATCACAGGACTGCCTTTTCAGAGGATGGATAATGGTTCATTATACATATGTACATTATATATACATTTTCTTTATCCATTCATCCATCAATGGACACTTGGGTTGCTTCCATATTTGGGCTATTGTGAGCAAAGCTGCAATGAACATGGGAGAGCAGATAACTCTCCAGGGTAGTGACATTATTTCTTTTGGATATAGACCTAGAAGTAAGATTGCTGGAGTATATGGTAGTTCAATTTTTACCTTTTTGGAGACCCTCCATACTGTTTTCCACAGTGACTGTACCAATGGGCAAAGGACCCCAATCGACATTTTTCCCAAGAAAACATATAAATGGCCAGTGGGTGTATAAAAAGGTGTTCAACATCACTAACCATGGAAATTCAAGTCAAAACCACTGAGATGTCGTCTTATTCATGTTGGGATGGCTATCATCAAAATGTCAAAGCATTATAAATATTGGTGGAGGGGTGAAGGAAAGCAAACTCTCACATGTTCTTCTTGAGGAATCCACTAGGGGTCAGGCTTGAGCCCCTCGCTGGGGAAGCTCCAGGTTTAAATTAAGTTCCACCTCAGTGGCTATCATCATCCACGAGCTTGGAGTAAAGCATGATTTCCTGAACTTAGTCGGTCCTGTCCAAAGGGTACACAGTA